TCTCTCTCTCTCTCTCTCTCTCTCTCTCTCTCTCTCTCTCTCTCTCTCTCTCTCTCTCTCTCTCTCTCTCTCTCTCTCTCTCTCCCCCCCCTCCCCCCTCCTCTCTCTCTCTCTTTCTCTCTATATATACACATATGTGCGTGTGTAAACGTACATATCTGTCAGTTATGTACGTGTGGAACGGAGCACCGATTCACACGCGTGTGCCACTAATGCACACACTTGGGCTGAGCGTGCACCCTAACGGGGCGAGGTACGTATGGATATATATCAGTAGATATGTACGTAGAACAGCCCAACAGGGTCAAGTCATACTGATGGCTCATAAGATCAGGGTACATAGAATGTACGAGGTCAATGGACAACATTTGCACCCACAGCATCGCTCAATCTCGCGGTATTCGTCCTTATTATCCCCCCTACGGTTATGCTAATTCGCAAGCGTACGGATAAAACACGACGTGCACGTTCCATTTCTTTCTTTTCCGTCGTCCTGTAACACCCCTACGCTCTTTCACATCCACGGGGGTGACTTAAGGCGACGGTCCAACCGAGCGGTCGCACTAAGCAACGCTATTGCATTAGAGGCGCTAAATGATTGACAGACGAAAAGGATAGATAGAAAAATTATATAAATTTTATTTTATCGATATACTTCAGTATATAAAATTATACCAACTTAACAGGATTACTTGATGTACTTAAAAGATAACACTATTAGAGATAATGATTACAGAGTGATTTTTACTTTATTGCATTCGCGTCTACCTCTCTGTATTCGACTTATACAGCTTCGTTATGAAAACCAGTATTATCAATAGTATCGATACATATTTTTATCCTCTTTTGCAGAGATGTGAGATAGCCAGGATTGAGAAGCAACTCGTTACTTGTAACGAAGTTACAGTTACTTTTTTTTGGTAACTCTAACTTCGTTACTTTCACTCCATCTGTAACTGTAACTTAACTCAGTTACACTAATAGTTACTTTATATATAAATCAATTACAAGTGTAAACGCCTTTAGGACCTGGCACAGATGGAGGTAGCCGCTTGAATTATCGTAAGAATAATTTTTAGTATGAGGGAGGGGAGGTTATCGTAATAAATGCTATGTATAGCATCTTAAGATAATTTCGAAAAATCGCTCAGCGATTTTATAATACGTGAATTCACTGACGACAATGATTCCACCTAACGAAAACCTGTGGTTGTCTGTAACGATACGCAGGATGGAATAAATACGTATTCACATGATAATCCAAGTGGCTACCTCCATCTGTGCCAGGTCCTAAAGGCGTTTACATCTGTAATTGATTTATATCTTAAAAGGACCGAGTTAAAAATTTAGTGCTTTATACATATATATTTTTTTTAAATATCCACAGATCGCATTAGGTCTTGCCCTTGCGCATAAACGCCTTCATCGACACTTTACAATTCAATTGCGGATTTGATACGTTTATTTTTATTGCAGGAAAGTAACTGCAATGTAACTTTTCAGAATTAGTCACTTGCAACTGTATAGCCAGTTACATTTTTTAAACCGTAACTAGATACTTTTATCAAGCAACTTTCCCAACCCTGGAGATAACAATACTTTCGCATTGAAATATTAAATCTAATCGTGCTCAAATCCGCACTTGTGTACTTGGAACACACATGTTCAGACTAATACATCACGCGAGAGGGTATCGGCGGATAAACAGTTGTATGTGCATATAGGCAAATGCATTTCCACGTAATTGTAAATATACATACGTATGAGCGATACACATGTACGGACGTTCCGTTCGAGAGAAACGCCAACAGGCGCATGCAAGACATGTCGTTCAACGTACACGCGTTCTACCAATGTTCCGCCGCATACCCAGGTTGACGAGCCATCGTCAGCGTAGCCAAGATGGTCATACGGGGGGGATCACTCGGCAATTTACGACGAAAGGACCGATTTCAGAGAATGTTGCATTTTTTATCGAGCGCAAGGTACGACGGGTTGCTGTGTAAGGATAGACTAGTCGAAAAATTTATAAGCCACTCGGTCGTTAGCACTAAAATCTCCTCGATCTTGGCGTGTATAATAAATGAGCAGGTTTACCCAACAATTTCGCACGCATAAATCAGAATATACTCTAATAGTTTCCATAATATCTTATATTACAATATTACCTGCATGAACATTGAAATAATTGTACGCCAATATTCATAATTACAGTAGTACTGTCATAGTCTAATAAGATGGAGAACGTTCACATTGAATGATGAAATTGTTGTTCTACTTATGCTAAATGTCACAAATGTCAAGACAATATTTAGCAACACGCAGAGAGGTATTTTCGAATATTCAAGGTAGCAGACTTTAAGATAGGATTAAGGAGCGAGGCCAGCGAATTCGCGTTGCAAATGTGTTTTTAATGAGAACTTAACTTGTCCGATCGAACATACGAATCTCGTCGTACACGATATCGCTACTAAACGATTCTCTTTGCGGAGTTGGAGCTTTACGATCAAACAAGACCCAATGATTTTCCCTCGCGTCGTTTCTCCCTAGTGCTTTCACCAGCTCCAAATGCGATTTAACACCATTATCGATGATGCAGTTTTGTAAAACACATGGAATAAATGATTAAATGGAAGAAGCTCTTTGATATCAAAATATACTAAAAAGTAAAAGCTAATTTGATTCTAAATGCGGGTTAAATAAAAATATTTATACTAATTGTAAATATAATTAAAAACGTATATTACATGCTTTGAATTTTATTCAATCGCTCGAGAAAAGATCAAATTAAATTAAATAATAACGTAAACTAACGAAATATGCACACCAGTGTTAATTAAACCTCGCTGAAACGGTAAAGGCAATTACATTGAATTTTTATTATTTTGTATGCTTTTATTACAGAAACATTTAGTTTTTCGTCGCGATCTTTGTGATTCTACAATATTATCTACGCTAAACTCGAACAAAATATATACGCAGAATATATGTAATAGTATGTCTGCATGAGAATATATGAATGTAAATTAATGCATACATTGATAAAAATCTTAAACAAAGTTATGGAAATTGTTTCTCTCGGTTGAATTATTTCATAGCTCGCTACTTCTATAAATTTTATTTTTGAAACCGACTTTCCTGTCCGTTTCCTACATCAAGATTTTTGCTTGACGTATACATGCGCGTACTAACACAGCGCTGGCTAATTATCCACCTGGCTGTGAACGCATAAACGTAACCTATAACGACAGTACACATTTAAAAAAAAAATGTAAACCGGACTTTCGTCATAATTTAACAGGAACATTATCTTTCTAATCTTTTTATAATCGGCCTTGAATGTCGATAAAATTAAGTCAAGCCGTGCTTCGTGCTAGATATACGTTGTAAAAGTGGACTTAACGATCTTTGGATCTTTGCATTGTTTATAATGCCACGCCTGTTTACGCTTTCTTATATAGCTTGTCTATATATTACGTCACTCTTTATCCCGCAATTCCAATTGTATCTCTTCCAAGGTTTTGCCTTCAGTCTCGGGCACAAATAGGTAAATTAATACCCATATAAGAAACGTTATCGCGGCGAACGTCCATAATGGTGCGAACGTGCCGTATAACTCTTGCACGACCTACGAACACAGTACAAATAGTTGCAGCTATTATATTACTTCGCTAGACGATATTAAGTAATAGAAAAAGAGTCAGACAAGTTTGAAAAAATTATTTCTCATTATGCTTTTAACGCGCAACGAGCTGAGTCTGTTTATTGGAGGGATATAATATACGCATTTATAGCGAGGGAGCTTTTTTAATAGCCGGTACGTTATTAAAATTGCAAATTGAATTTTAAAAAATATTCCTTACGCAGATCTTTTTAATAGGCAATATAAGATATCGATCGCATATTAAAATTAATGTAATTTGCATATTTATCTACGTCGTAATGTAACGTTTTCTTAACATTATTAGAGGTAAAGACTCCTTTTTGGCCGTCAGGACTATTAACCGATGTTATATCATACCGTGCTGTATAATACTATTACGAAGCAAAGAATCCTTTTTGGTTAAACCTCTTAACTGATCGTTGCTGTCGATAACCCGCTTACCGCGCTCTCGTCCGCGAAAACAAAATCGATTCTTACACAGACGTCAACGTACCTGATAAAACTTCACAATGGCGGTGGTGCTTAAAGCGTAGTAGAGAGCATTGAGCACCGCGGCGGGTACTTTGACCTCGACGCCGAAGATCTCGCCGATATACGCCAGCGGTATCGGATTAAGGCCGAGTCCGAAGCCGAGCACGTAAATCACCACGAAGACCGTGGGCACCCACTTGAATTGGGAGACGTCGTAGCCGCCGGACTGCAGCTCGAAGAAAATGGCTATCGTCGCCAGCGATACCACGCAAATCGGTGCGGCGATCAGCAGCAGCAATCTCTTGCCCGTGAGACGCACCACCGACACGCAGGCGCTACCGGCCAGGACGATGGCGACGCCCGACATGATGATGCTCGCGTTGGTCGAGATCTCGAAGCCGGCCTCTTCGAATATGTACGACTGGTACGCGAGTATCGGCGACGCGCCGGTCAATGTCAGCCCGCTCAATAATATCAGAGCGATTCGAAAGGCTCTCCTGTTCTGTGGCTTCGTGCCGATCTCCTTGAACATCTCCCCGAGAGTCATCTTGCTGCACTTGTCCTCGGTCTCCACAATTCTTTTGATCTCCTCGAGTTCCTCGTCCACGTTCTCCTTACCCAGGGCCCACTGAAGGGTCTTCTCCGCGGGTCCAAGTCTATTCTTCCGCGTGAGAAACACCGAGCTCTCGGGTAACCACATGAAGGTCAGTAGGAAGAACACCGGCGCGCAAATGCTTATCATCGCCATCGTGAATCGACTGATCCACAGACCGATCGCGTAGATGAGTAGCATCCCAATGTTGATTAGAACAGCCATTAAAGTACCTGAAGTACCTTGCCTTATTCAGTGATGCCTTGTGAAAGTGTTATACTAACTAATCGCGTGCAGTGTTACAATGATTATACGATCGTTAACGGTAACTCTGTAATCGTGTCTATTCAATATAATGCCACATAGCTTTGGAAATCTTTTCGAAACATTCAGAGACGCCAGTCAACGCATTTAACGTTAGTGAGTAAATATCTAATATTCGCGTTTAAGCCAAATAAATATGTTACCGCAGCGATAAAATTAGTTTAAGCACTGAACGTTAATGACGCAAAACAGCTGATACCTAAAGGACCTCTGGTCCGCTTGCTGCTGATCTCGCCGAGATACATCGGCATTACAGCGTACGTTATGCCGCATCCGATGCCCGCGAGTATCCGTCCGACATACATGATCGGAACAGACGTGGATAGCCCGATGACGGCCCACGAGAGGATTTTCGGCACCGTGGTGATTAGCAAGGTTCCCTTACGTCCAATGTTGTCCATCAGTATGAAAGGTACTAACGAGCCGATGCCGACTCCCACATAAAGGAGATTCACGATCCAAGCGATCTCGTCGGTTGTCACCTTTAAAGGATCCTCCTCATTGAACTTGGATATGGTCGGCGTGCTCCATCCCTCGTGGAGGCCACAATCGATGATTAACATACTACCTGGGAAGCGATCACACGTAAGAGTTTTCCCAGCGAGATCATTCGCGAGAGATTAAGTCCAGGCGTCGGCGCGATCCCATCTGAATACTTACACACGACTCCAATCAACGTTTGCCGCAATATGCCGCGGTCCATTTTGTGCCCAATGACGCTCCCTCTTGCTTAATTATGGTTTTTATCGGATTTGACCGTGCTACGGATTAAACGGAGCAAAAAGTAATTGTTGTTACGAACATAGCACGCGCACGAAGAATATGTAACGCGACTTAAATGACATCTCACGTTTGCGAACGAGTGCTTGTTCCGTTATCGATCAAAGAAGCGGTTAAAGTGTACCTTATTCAGCTCGTGTATACTGCGGTTTGAGGCTGAATGCTAAAATGGCATAAAGATGCAGGGGGGGGGGAGGGGGAGATTGAAAATACGAAATTCCATCTTTGCTAATTATCGCGGCCGCGGGAGTGGGCTGGATCCTTCTAATCTAGCGACACGGCCGACCTCCGAGCCAAACGGAGATAACGGAGATAAAGCCAACAAGGGTACTAACTAGATTCCGCGCCACATATCTCCCGACTGAGGGTGCGATACGGTCACACGTGTAAACGGCTACGTCTGCACGCATGACCGCTGCTTGCCGCGGTCGGAGAGCACTTGCTCTTGCTTTGTGGCACGCGATGCGATGCCTCCCAAAGCGACAGTTTATGGCCGGCCATACAATACACCTATTAAGAGACGGAGGCCGAACCGGGCGCGTTCCTTAACATGAATTTATTGCCGTGAAATTCATACACACACTGACGATTCGCTGTCCACCAACCCGAATATCCGTCTGAGTGGGCGCACGAACAGATAACTGAGGAAGTTTAGCTAGCTCGACTACTGGTTACGAAAAGGAATCTAACTTTCACAAAATCTACCAGCGATCTTCACTAGCGTCGATCCAATAATTGGGGTTTAATTTCCATAATTAAATGTAATAACACATCAACTGCAATAACGCTAAAACTTTTATGTTAATATTTGTAAACAAAATTTAATTATCTTACTTTACATAAATGTAGAAGTAATCAATGAGGTGTTGATTATTCATGATCATTCACTGGTATCCTTAATCCAATCGAGCTGCAATAGTACGAACCGCCTTGCATTTACATATCTTATCCTATTCCATTTGACTTGCCGCGTTCGACGGTCGAAATATCCTTAAATAAATGAGATCAGCAAGCCCTTTTAGAGAATTCAGAATAGAGTTTCTCACAATTCAAATTGCAAAAACATTGCAACTTCACTAACAACGCTACATACCCTCGGAAATTCAGCCGTAAATGCTTCTGCAAATATTCGAATTGTTTTACTTTATGCGCTTTTTAGTCACTATATGCTTATATTGTAATTGTCTTAACAATTGTTTATGCGTTGTTTTTTTATTTTCTGCGCATATATTCGGTTTAAAACGAGAACAATATCGATTTTATTTTAACAAGTTTATAATCAACGGAACATCTATTCTGCTTTTTAACAGACTTTAAATGATGCCATTAATGACAAATTTAAACTGCCGCTTCCGATAATACGTACCAGAATAGATTCTTATGCTCTTAAAACAGAGATGCGATTACAATAGCGCTCTTAACAACAATGAAAATTTCACTATGTGTTTAAAACGAGAACAATATCGGTTTTAATTAACAAGTTTATAATGAACGGAATTATCTGTTCTGCTTTTTAACGGAATTTAAATGAAGTCATTAATGACAAATTGAAACTGCCGCTTCCGACGATGCGTGCCAGAAAAAATTCTTATGCTCGTGAAACAGAGGCTCCTAAAATTACAACAGCGTTCGTTACGACCAGTAAAATTGCACTGCGATTTTTTGAATGTAAGACTTCATACTTCCTAAAATAATTCGACCCTCTTCGTTTCGTAACGAATAGAAACCTAACACGTTGAACATTGCGCAATATGCAGCTGGTGCGTAACAACAACTATTACGAAGATTTATTGCTTTAATAATACACGGATCATAACTGCGATAATTACACGTAATATTCGGTTCTCTCTTCCTCTTGTAATGATATTCGTCGGTTTAAAGCCAGTGAGTGGGAAGCTTTCGTAAGAGCTGAAAATAGAAAGGGCCTGTGCTTATTCGAACCGGCTAGAACACGTTAAGGAACATTTAACTTGACGTAGTAATCGAGCGATATCTAGAATCTCTTCTGAGCCTCTAGTCAGGTTCTGGAACCTGGTTCGCGCAGCTTAAACAGAAACCTTCGGTAAAACCGGTCAAATTCTCAAAACCAGTTAGTTTACGTCCTTTTGTCTTGTTCAAACAGGTTGCCGAAACGATCGGAACACACCGAGTCGTTGCATCGCCGGTTTATACCGAGACGTTTCCCGTCGTCCAGCCACTTATCATCACCGAGGTGCAAGAAGAAAGGCCCGCGGTTACTACCCCAAGGTCGTCACGTTCGGAGGTGCACGATATTTCATCTTAACTGTGTAGTCGATGAACGGTTAATCGCAGCCTCCCAGATCGGGAGACTCACTGGGTCTCGGGCTATGATATATAACTATTTCCACTAAACATGTATTAGTTTTTCGTTACAGGAAATAACTGATCTTGTAAACCAAGCTTATTAAATTATAGATTATTAATCAAGGTGTGATTATGTTCGAAAACTATAATTACATGCCTACAGTTTTAATTTAATTTTACGTGAATTTCGTTTCACATAAAAGCCAATGAATTATTGTAAAAATATGCTTTTAATGTGAAGATAATGAAGAGGTACTGAAAATTGAAAAGCAACGAATGATTTTCGACATTCTCATTAACGAAAAATCCCAAAAATTTATAGCTAAAGCAATTAGGTGAATTCTTTAGAAAGTAAATAGCGACCGATATGCGCGATCGAGTTATCGCACTTTCTTTAAATTGATAATATAAAATAATCGATACCTTCCATTGTTCCAATTAAGCTATTGCTGCACCGCGATGTTTCATCACTCATAGCGAATATAATAAATCATTTCACGCGTATACGTTACAGGCATTTACTCACATGAAACTCGAACGAACGTCGACCCGATTAATTGACAGATATATACATAAGAGTCATTATGCGAACACGCATATTTTATCTCAATCACGTCGTTACACCTGATTTAACAATGACATGCCATTATCGCGCCGAGGATTTAATTCGCCTTGATCAGTGAGCTGTTACTTAATCATGGAAGGCAGTTAAACGCAATTAGGAATTACTCAATCATGCCATTTGATGGATATTGAACGGACGATGATATTCGAGTCACACTTTTCGATGGGTCAGACAAGAGATTACATTGGCACATTGTTACCTGCTGTTTATTTCCGTATCTGAATCTTTAATGCTAAATCTCTTACACTAATCTAGTTTAGCGAGGCAGATTTCTTTAAGCCTGATTGTCTGGCGGTTAGTACTTATGATAATGCCCTCTAATAGCCGTACACGCATTTACGCACTGCGCACGTATGCGTATGAATAATGCATACGTTATTAAATCGCTGCATCGTTTTTCAAAGATGGAATTCTGATGTTAAAATGAATTTCCGTGTTCAGAGAAGCTCCCCTTTTTCTTTTTCTCAAACGCGAGAGCGACCCCCGTCTTGTATCCAATTGTTTCACAATGGCACCAATGACAGAAGCTTCCGAGAAGTTCTTTCAATGATGATTCTAACTGACATATTTCACGATAGATTTGGCTTCGGATCGTCCCGTTCTAATTTCCTCCAAATGCACCGAACGCGCGCGGCGAAAGTGTACTCGTAGAAATAATTATATCGAGAGTTCACCTTGATAAAGCACCTGTCACTACCACGATAGTCGAGAATGAGATGCCGAGATCTCGACGCGCGTCGGCGACAACGACGCCGTTGTCATTCTGAAAGACGCCGGAAAGGAAACTGAGCCTGACTCTGATACGCAGGCACGTCACTGCGATTTTAATCGAATCCCCTCCCGTCCCGGACGAGAAGAACGACAACGTGGCCTGTAACCGTTAATTACTTTCCCGTGCTATTTCTCGCGCGCGCGCGCGCGCAAGGCTTTTTCTGTACAGTTTTTCACATTGTTCTTCTGTTCTATCAGTTAACCGCCTTTTAGTGCCAGGCGTGCGGAACGTGTATGTCACGTATCGCGTATTTTGAAAATTGCGATCCGTTCGACGGCTCGTGATTTTTTTCCCACCTCGGACCAGGCGGGCGTGACGGTGTTGGGTGCCAAATGGCAGGAGCGCCTGGGAAAACTGATACGCTCACTATCAATTCGTTGTTATTGACTGTGCTAGGTTTAACTTCAGGATAAACGCAATAACACGTGTGTTACCGTCTCCACGTGCAAACATTTGCTAATTGAAAGCGAGAACGCAATCTATAAACGTTTATTCTATGTCTCTGGCATGTTTATTCAATACCCTATCTGAGCAAATACCATACGGGAAATGCAAATTGCATACTTTTTATTCCAGTCATTATGTTCCGCACCCGGTGATTTTCGCTGTTAAATCTAGGAAATCTTAAGAAGGACAGACGCGAATGGAATTACGAAATTATTTCTCGGAGGTAAAAAATTATTCACATTGAATTTCAACCTCGAAAGATAAAAAGCAAGAGCCTTGTTCGGGAAAAAGTTATTTCCATCCTTGAGCAAAGCGTCGTGACGGGCTGCGTGTTAATTTTATGTTTAACGTGGATAACATTGAAGTGCCAAGCGTTTCTCATATACCTGTATCATCAAACGCGCATAAGTTTCCGGCTTCTAAGATTCCAGAAATAATCGTGGAAGCTACCTCAAATGTCAACAGTATTACGCCAGTTCAAATACCGGCGGTTAATATCGCCAATTTCAAAGGCGTTGCGACTTAGAAGTCCGATTTAACATTTATTCCGCAAACAGGAAAATCTAATGGAACATAATTCGCCGAACTTTCTCCCGATTATTCGCGCAATCGGTTCTACCTCAGTGCGAACGGTCGACCTGACCGACAGCGATCCATTTTACTGGCGGAACGACGCAATCGGGGAAACATCTGACGTGTCTTAACTTCGAAATTGCACCGGTGATGTTCCACGCGAGGCAACATCGCGCGCCAGATTGATTTAAGGGCGTCATTGTCGTTATGCCGCGTGATTCCCAGCGCATACGTTGCGAATACTGAGAACAATGCGCAATTTTTCAAAGCACGTCGCGTTCTTACGTGTTCATCTCGACGTGATGGTTTGTCTCTCTTGCCCGCATATTAATACCCATGCGCATTTCAACCACACGATTTCACATGACGTGTCTTTATAATTAAGGAGCACCTTTACTATTTAAATCAAACATTTTACCGCAGAGATCAAGACCTAATTAATTCGAGGAATGGATGTTACAATATAGATGCATATTATTCAGTTAATGGTTTTCTATGAAGCTTAATAAGGTCGGATACTCATACGTGAATATATAATTAATTATTGTCTAGCATGAATTGTAATTGTTATAATGTAATTTCGAGGAATGTGGATGCGAGAAAATTTAATTTTTGCCAATTGTTAATTGCCTTGCGCAATTCAAAATAAGCAGAATTATTTGTCTGCGTTGACACCGATTTCTGGTTGTCGAAATTATATTAATAAAAGAATTTTCTATTAATGTAAATGCAATATCTATAAATAGAAATAAATAATACTGATGTGATAGACGTTCTCATTGAAAATAAGTTATCATTTAAACTGCTGCTTTTTATCACGTTTATCATTTACGAAGAAAATGTGTCGTTAAAGAATCACTGTACAAAGTTATTTGAATATTTTTTACTACGCTCTGTAATGTAATCATCAGCGCGATATTTTTTTTGCGCGTATTTATATTTTACTACATGACTCAGATGCGCGAGGTATTATCCGTCAGGTATCAACCTGAGAAAAACCGAGACGAGTGGCAAAAAATTTTGCTATGAGATCCAGACGATTCAGCGAATGCTTATCGTCTTGTTCCTTTCCTCATACCCGCTTTAATCGGAAAACGGCATGGTTAAACTACGTCAGATAGCGACAACTGGAACAGGCGACGAGGTGAGGCGGGACGTGGGGAAGGAAAGAGGTCGTTCAGCGCGCGGAGACAGCACGATAGTCCCTAAAGTATATTTGCATTTGCATTCGGTAATTAAACTCCCTCCGTTTCCGCGATACTAGACTACCTCAAGCTCGTTCTTATCGGAGTTTGTCGAAGAAGAGCAATTGGTCGGCTCGAGGAATTCCAAATGGCTTTCTCGTGCCCGAGGCACGTGACCAAGTTATAACGGCCGGAAGTCAGCGAGATACAAAACTGTCTAGCGATCCGCGGTGATTAATCGTTTCGTTCAGTCAAAGTTACTCCACGTTCCATTAATTAAGTAATTAAACCGCTGTCGCTTCGCCTCCAGCATCAAGATTGACATGAGATTTCGTACGAAACAGATCGCGGAAGAGATTCTTGTTACAATTTGCGTTAGTTACCGCTCCGCTGCCGTTTCGAGTTACGCGAGCGAAGCGTGCTCGGGAGTCCGATTCGATCTCGACAATACCGACGATTTTCGCCAAGCACTTAAAAATCAGCGTCCTAGTTTCAAATATTATTTGACAAATTGTGATTCTTAAGTATTTTTCTGCAAATATTCTCGAGATAACAATTCAAATCGTACACATATTTGGACTAATAGCTATCGTACTTTGCCGAGACGTTGTGCGTGTTAGACAAAAAGTGAAAGATAAAACTCGCGTTTGAAACTACGTGCAATTTGTCTTTCGAGACATTATACGCTCGGTTATTTTCTCTCGAATATACGTGTGCATTGATACATTGCAAGTCGGCATTTTACACGCGATTACTGATATTATGTAAAGACTAGGTGAAATTATGTCATCGTGGATGCAATTACACGAAAGTGGTACGCAGAAATTCATGTTTCACTCTCCTTTCAATTTAATGTTTAAAACCGCATCAGGCATTGAAGCATGAAATACGCACGCGAATGCACACGATCTGATCCAAATCGTATGATTTTAACGACGAGGGACGGAAATGTGGAGAAAATCTAAGTAGTTAATTAAAAGTAACGTTTTCGTGATGTAATCCACTTTCAAGCAGAAACACTCTGCAAGGAGGCATTAACCGTGACCACATTTCGTAATAAACACATTATTCCGCTCACGTGATTTCAGCAGAAATTTTAACTCGTCTTAGAGCCTATTGTAGAGCCAGCTGAAATTCGTGTCAGAATTCAGGATGGAATTCTACGATTTTATGTATCGTGTAACACAACAAATATTTGCCAAGAATCGGAATATATAAAATACATACTAAAATGTACGCGCGTATGTCAAAATGTACATATCAAACAGAATTTAGAATTCTGTTTTGAAATTTAAAAGTGAATATTGTGAATTTTACGAAAATTGTTCCCTTCTTTTCCCTGGGGAATTAATTGCTCGGAACTCGGATTGTTTATCCGCTATCCTCTTTTTCAAGCGGCATTTGCCTTACGAACTTATGTCTTTTACATAGATATATAAAGATTATACGTTGTCAGGCCGGATAGCCGCGCATACGCGCGTTTTTATTCCGCGCAGAAGTCGGGGAATCCACTCGATATCCCACGTCTACGATATCGGCAAAGTTGGCCACGAGAGACCGAGCCTACTTGGCAGATATAATAAAAAGAGAAATATCGCAGGGGCGGAGGCGAAAAGGCGCGAGCTGCAGCGAGCGGTATGCGCCGCAGCCCCGCGGCTACGCGCTGTAAAATGAGAAATGCATGAGAAAGCCGCAGGGTAAGGGACTTACCATCGTGGGAGTCATAGAGGTAGATGATTTTCTTCCAACCGTAGTATCGCACCGTATCGATGATAGCGCGATGGTAATCCGGTCGCATACTTATGGCGAAGTCCAGGAGACCCGAGGATGGCGTCAGGACCTGGGGATACACAATAATCCCGTGCACTTTCGGCGTACCTACGATCGTGGCCGTTGTGAAATTTTCAACGGGCAGTACGTCATCCATTTAACGCGCTGCCGAAATTAATTCTACTTAGGAGGGAAAGGTAGCTCCGTCGAAACTTTAATCTGAGTCGGTGCAATCGAGCTCCTACCACTCGTGAATTCTCTTTGAAACTTAATTCTTCGCGAGTGTGCAACTGGTGCATGCGCGCAGTGATTTACTACCGAAATATATGCCTTTTGATACTAATTCCAGTTGTCGAGCACCGACTCGGCTTTTTCTCATAAAACATTCACGCCCCTTAGATATGGGCTACGTGATTTTCAAAGCCAGTTGAAATTGCACGAGATAGAGCAATTGGGAAATATCTTTTTCAAATCAAACGGCATTCTCTTTATTGATCCTTCGGACGACGTCGAGGGGAAATAAATACCGTATCGCGTTTGAAAAATTAATCATCGTCCGGCTAGAATGATCGTATTCCCACGTATTGAATTTCCAATGGTACCGATAACGTCTCTCTTTCTTGAGGGCGAGGCAGCGACGCAGCAAACGCAGCGCAGGTAAAGATCTCATGGAAATTGAAAAAGGATTTTCTCTATATAAATGGCCGTTCCTGGCGAACCGTAATTGGCCCCAAAAAAAAAGGAGTAGAAAGCCGAGGCGTCGAATCAGCATTACCGCGCGATTACCATTTAAACGACATCGACGTTCGTTACGCGTACATATATACTTATACTGCACGGAAATATATCGCGGGAAAAATACGCACACAACGCCCGAAATACTCACGAACCCGACGTTCATCCTATAGAGCATAGTGCGATATCAGTTTACAGCGGCGCGATAAATGCAGCCCCGCAATTCGAGCCGGCGAATAAATTTTCCGTGAGCCAATTCATTTCGAAATTCAAATTGTAATATGTACACCGTATGTATCGCATACATATTTACGTATTTGTATGAATGATTGTATCGACTAAATCCATCATCATGCATCGCGCGGCGCTGCTAATTATCAGTTGCAGCGCGAAACGAAACTATTGATTCTGCACACGACAGTTATTGTCAAATACGCGCAACGTAGCGTGTACTCCCTCCTTTTTTTTTCCTATGTCGAATTGATAAGTGAAATGGAAAATTTATGCATCGACCATAAGCCGCTCCATAGACACGTGACTCAAGCGTCAATCTCGCAGCCTTTACGCATACACTTCGATGTGATTTATATTTGACGAAATTTCAAATTTAATGGCAATTATTATTATGTAACGTGACTATTAACGCCACTTGTATTACGTACTTCGACGAGTATCGAATACACGAAATAAAATCTGAATTTTATATATAATTTTTCTTAAGCAGAACCGGTTTGTAATCATTCTTTCAGATTTCTTTGTACGTTCTGCTTCGGGGTACCGTAGGAAAGATACGCGGAGTGTAAAACGTAAGATTGTAAAAGGAAAAACATCACGGAAAAACAGGTTTCATGAATAAAAATTACATTCAAATAAGACTTCGATTCATTACCTTCCTCTGAAGAAAAGTGCTGGCCATGACTAATTGCACAATTTTATTTCGAGAAATGATGTAAATCTCGTGAATTCTCTGAATCGTAGATTTCATTGTCCCGTTGTGTAATTCAGAACAATGCCACATATTGCACAGATATATGAGTGTATATTTAATAAGATATAAATGCTGGCATAATTCCAATAAATCGTGTTGCGAAAGAAATTTTTCGATAAAATGTAAAAATTTGAATTCAATATTTTTCGAAGAAAAAAAAATGTAAAAATATAAATGACAAGCATGAACTGTTTCCTTGAATGCTGTAAATCTGAAAGAAAAAGGTATGGCTTACCTTTTCAGGGAACCAAGGTGTCACGAATGGCATTTGGAACGTGTTGCTGTATGAATGCAGCGTATCGAACGAGTCTGGACTCACGGCGCCCAACATTGAAAACACGCCTCTGCTAAACTGGTTGCAGACTGCAAAGTATAAAAATAACGATCGTTATTATTTGAGAAAAAAAATGAGAAAGAAATAACTGTAGTCAACGTATGAAACGACTTGTTTTTTGGGAAATGCTCGAATACGCTGGATGTTGGTAAGATCTTGAGCGAGTATTTGTGTTTAAAGAACTGCGTGCGTAAGATAATGAACCCTTATTCGGTGTGCATTTGTAAAAATGCTATATCGCGTATAAACATGTATTTACGCATCGTTATTATTTATGGGTTGTTATTACTTGACATCAACAAATACACGTATACTGTACGCTTTATGAAGATCGAGCGACCATCGTGTGATGGGTAATCTCATTGACCATTATGCGTGGTCTTCCACAAAGCACAATAATACCGCAAAAGTGTCAGCTTGCGGGACATACTGAACGCCTGCTGGATAGATCCGTTTTTATTAGCGCGGTAGAGACAAAAAGGATAACCAATAAAAACAGCGTATGTGGCGGCCGAGCTACATACAGATCTAAATTTGATTACCACGTTAACAAAGTCGCTTTTAATAACGCGGGATAAACGATTGAGTAGGGAAAATAGCGATGAACGGAAACGCAATATATTTCTTCGTCGACTTACTTTAATATTGATAATCGAAAATGTTAATGCTTTTAATGCCCTCTACCAATATTATTCTTTATAAAATTACAATAAATTCTTTTCATTTTAGAAAACATGACATCTTGGCGTGTAAAAATTGATGTTGTTTAGAGCCGCGGTCGTTCAGTGCGCCGCGCAAATAATATTTTTTTATTTATTCAATATTCAACGTTAAATCAATATTGCAATTTTATTGAAATTCAACTGAAAATGGTAATACATAAAAAAAAATAACAGACGGTATATTAATGTTGATAGAACAAATAAAAAGAAATTGAGGCCATGTACAATTGTGATTATTATGAGGTATTGCAGTGAATATGATTCGTTAATATGATCATTTAAAGCATGGGTAATGTATGTGCATGTGTGTATGTGTGTGTGTTGTTTAACCGCAACGGTCGGCACGACCGAGATAAATGGCGATGATGGACAAACGCGATAAAACGTATAGAAGAACGGGCCATCTCGGAATAGGTGGAAGGAAAAAGGGAGAGTGACTGAGATAGGATATCGGTTGCACCGATTGCGAAGGTGAGGGAAGATCCAAACGGTTGGATGCGATCCAAAGGGAAGGTATGCGGCGGATAAAAGAGTGCTGGTCGAAGAAAAAGAAACCGGGAGGAGCTGTGGAAGCTGCAACCCCTACAAGTTAATCGCTAAAGAAGAAACTGACAAGACTCGTGGCTGAAGATTTTTGCAACGTTCGTCTAAATGACTAAGAAACGTCGGTATTTTCGATGCTTAATGCGAATAATATTGCGGCCTTGCGCTTACAAGCCATTGTAACTCGATAAACGTGGTCGGCCGCTTTTTATCATTTGACTTACGTTTCTTCCTACTTTATTGAAAAATGCTATCATAAGCATTTTGATTTAATTTAGCATTAAACATCCCTGAAATGTAACTATATCAATTCTCGGTAGCAACAAAAAGTAGATTCAAGTATTTTATTTTGAAAGGTGAAAATTATAATTTAAGTTTATTAAAATTTGCAAAGAAAAAACACAAAATACTTGAATTTCATCGAAAATATTTCGACAAACAGGGCTAATAAAGAGGGTAGAGGCTTCAAGGCACCATCGAATATTCTGTACAGTGAATTACATGTACGGCTTCCTCCTTCGATTAAAAAAGAAACAGGCTTTTGAGGTCGCCCCATTGAGCCTACAAAGGAAATTGCGCATACCCAGGGGCGGTGGCTTATTAACCATTTCGTTGTTATCATTGCAGTACTCGTGTATAATTTCAAGTTACGCGCAGCCTACTTTATTTTAATTATTCTTTTATGCTCGCCCTCACGCCCAGCGTTCGTCCAGGGCCCGGGGTGAAAAAGGACGAAAGGAAAAGAGGAGGTAGAGACGGACGCCGTTTTTATTTTCGTTGTTCCGCGGCTACCACGTGTACGTGCAGTAGAGCAGAATTCAGAGATCCGGCGGCACGGCGGCCAGCATTTATTGTGGCCACCCCGAGGGTGCATTTATATTCATAAGCATAATGGGGCATCGTGATATATGCGCCCGCGCCTTGGTTAAGAATGTCCCTTCGCTCTTTCGTCATTATTAATTCCGCGTACCGTCGCGGCCGCGCTTGCCAACGGTTTCCCGACGACCATAAAAATACGCGCGTCTTTTATTATTTGACTAAACGCGCAGCGAGGCTTCGCTCTAATCGTAAGTTGTAACTGACGGATGTTATCTCGAGGAACATCCGCGAACAGTATTTCCCTCAAGGACCTGTGCACCTGTGCACTTCGTACTTCGCAACGTACTTGTTACGTTCCTGCCCCATCCGGTTGTATGAGTTATACCGTAGTTCCACGCGTTACTGCACGTTTCTCACGAAAGTATCCAGTATATTCTGTAAATTTTGCATCAAATTTCGGAAGTGTAAGTTTTAAGAAATTAAGGGACAAGTTTTGCGCCATGGAAATTCAATTAGACGTCGCTTTCTTTCGCAACTTGCAACATTTTTCCATTAAACGCTCCGAGTTAATGATGCTGAAATGTCGTTAATTTTAATAATTATGAAAACATATACTCAAAATTGACTTTAATCTAATTTTATATGTAAAACGTATTCTTTTGTAAATAAATCATTATAATTTTATGTATATTATTCATGAAATTAGTTAAATTGAAAAATTTCACGTGTGTTTAACAGAATAAGAAAAAGAAGGAGCAGATATATAACGTGATTTTTATAGCTTATATACATACACCTAGAAGAATGCACATAAAAATATATTACCGAATTAATAAGTCCCCAAATTGTTTGCTTAAAATTTTTTTTAAGATTTTCGAAGTACTTAATCAATTTCGTGAGTTACTGCATAATATATTAAATAAAGTTGTATGTAGAAGCCAGCATCTTGTCCGCGTAAATTTCTTTTCAGCATACATAATTTTCACTAAAACTACTAGTTAACGGAATAGCTATAAGATAACTCGTTAAATTTTAATCAGTTTTCTAGATGCTGCGGTATAAACTTGAGCAAAAAATTACTTGTTAGTTGAATGCAAAGAGTATGGTATATGGCAACTTTTAATAATACAAATTCAAAGATAGATATTCGTTTTCTTAATATAACAATTAAAATATAATTTCTATTCATAACAACTTTGATAAAAGTATTTCAAATTCACGAAAGCCTTTTATTTTCTTATAGAAAGAGATAACATTCAGTATCGCGTCCGGACAAATAACTGAGAGTTTAAATTTCTGCGAAAACATGTTTAGAATTGATATGTGATTAATAAAGCAAATGGCAATATTAAATTTACGGCCAACAAAATTCTTATCGTTTTTCAAAATTGAATATCTTAATAATTTCCTTATCGCGACATTTGAAGACTTTTATACCAACTCCTTACGATGTATCGCATATAGAAAAAGCTTCGCACGAAATATTGCACTCCCGATTGCCCGCGGTGCGTCCATCATCTTATTTGTTTCGATATATCGTAGAAGTTTCGAATCAATACGCAACTCCGTGTATGGCGTACAATGCAAAGCATACCAAAGTTGCGTCAAGTATGCGAAAGGGATGCTCGATCAAGTAGGCGGCAGATGGCCGCGGTATTATCGACTCTATGCATTGGCTCATGACTGAACAAGTTTAACGTCTATTATTATACTAAATATATCTACTCGCTGCGAAGCCAGCCTGGGTCAGGCTAATGATGCCGGCAAACTTTGCACACTGCACGGACAGGTGCTACGTACATGCAGATGATACTTCCACTACCTAACTTCGTTATACATATGCACAGTGGATGGTAAGATACACGTAATTCAACGGCCAGGTGATAAAATAGGCGTGATAATAGTGCGCAATATAAAATTTACATTTATTAAGAGCGAGTAGTAAATCAGACCTAATCATCTAAGCTCCACATAGAGACGGTTGTTATACGATTTCCTTGCTCTTTGACTTGAGATTCTTCGTAAAATAAATAATTAATCGATGAGTGAATTCTTTGTTTCGTTCTTTCACTAATGAATCAATTCCCGAGTCTTGTAGAATTCTTGCGTTAAAAGCATTGCTATGTGACAAAATAGTTGAATCGCAATTCAATCTTGTAAGTGAGAAAATTCATCCAAATGAATGTCAATAGCAGGAGGTAAGTTTGTTCTAATCCTGATCTCGGATTAAGAAGTCCCCTCTTTGTTTAGCTTATCTTCTGTTCCTTTTAGTCAAAAAGTTCCAGAAGGCCATTTCATAACTTAGAGACAATCAACGGGAACGCTCACTGGAGAGAACACTCGGAGGCAGACTCGAATATCACGGGTGAAATTATTTTTTACTCGCAAAGTTTCAAGTACCCGTCATAATGTAACTGGGCGGTCTTCAACTGGGTCGCGATGATGGTGTCAGCCACCTTCAGCGGGCAACTAGACAAATCTCATGGCTCCACTCGACAGTATGTAAGACTTCTTCCGCGATAGTAAACTTAGCAAGATTGGTTACGTTGCCGTACTTTAACCTTGGACGCTATCATTTCCTGCCACGGAGATATCTGTATCTTTCAAGAAATGTTATTACCGCGGATGGTAGAGGTTTGATATAATTATATTCCCGCGGCACAGGCGTAAAATAATGAAAGTCTACTTTTGTCAAGGCAATATGAGAAACGCATATCCTATTCACTTGTTCGCCACCAGATATCTTACTCCTTTAAGCTCGGAGCCATCGTGCACATAACGTAACGGCACGACGGACACGCCGGCAATTGTATGAACATTTTCGAGCCTTGCGACGGGCGCGTGAATACTTCGCAGATAGGTACTTGTACGTGTCGCCGGCATTATATTTAGCAACTGGAGAACAACTAATTCCAACTAGCGTTTACGAACCATTTAACTTGGTA